TCACACACACACACACACACACACACACACACACACACACACAAGCGCACTTAATGATCTGTCGTACTCACAGATCAGAGTGATAAGTCCAATCCTCGTTGCCAGGTTCAGTATGGTCTTGCTTCTCTCAGACTTTACGCGCAAGCGCTGTTCCAGCGTGGGGACGATGACGGAGATGGGCACGTAGAACTGGACACCCACGGAGATGAACATGGCCGCCGCCAGGATAAGATTCACCGATAGGTACAGCCTGGACATACGACAGAAACGTTATTTGTGAGTATGTTTGTTTGTTCGTTTGCTGTTTGTTTGAGGTTATGTTACGACATACACCACAGAGCATTATGGACTGGGGCCGAAGAAACAAGAGAAGACTTTTTGTTTGTTTGTTAAGTAAGAGTCTTACGGCACTTGCAAAACAATGAGGTCATATAAGTGTCAAAGGTTTTTTTTCGGGGTTGTTTTTTTTTGGAAAGTGTTTTACAGCACTTGCAAGGAGTTACTGTATGAGGTCTAAGAGCGCGCAGGGCACATTAAACATTTCAGTTTGGTACGAATTACTAATTCTGAATATTGTCCAGATTGCGGCCGAAGCCTACTCTTATTGATTTTGAACAACGAAGGGATCTTCAATGAGTCGAACTTGCAAAGGGGACCTCCTGGATTTTCCGCCCTTATCCGAGAAGGCTATAAGTGCTGAAGATTAAAGTTGTAACAATAGAGTAACAAACACAAAAAAGAAGGGGGAGAGGTCAGGACGATAGATGTTTGATTGAAGAGAAGGAGCAAAGTATGCCAGAACTTCCGCCAACCACCCATTTGTGGACTGGGGCCAAAGGAACAAACGTTATAACATGAGCAGCAGTCTATTGTCTATTTTGTTGGGGGGGAGAGGGGGGGGCGTTGGGGGTTTTTTATGTGGGCTTTTGTGTGTGTGTGTGCTTGGGGGAGGGGGGGGGGTTGTGATGTCATGCAAACTCTCTTGTGTAGTCAGCCTGCTCGGTACAGTACTATAAAAAATGAAGAGGTCAGAAAAGTAGGGTCCACCCCGCGTGTCCATGAAAGCAAAAACGACTCGATTTTGGTAGGGAGGAGGCCATTCGGTCTGTTTGTGTCCGGCATAGGTGTCCACCAACGTATGAGTAGCTCTGACAACACTGTGTCATACCTCGTCACCTGGTTATTATTAATTATGAGGTCAATGAAGGCAAGATTGGAATAAGAAATGAACGGCTAATAAAAATGAAATGCTAATAAAATTGTTAATATGCATTTGAACTAGGTCGTTCACGCGAAGACTTTACTAATATTTTGACGTGCTCACTTCAAATTATGTAACTTTAGATTTTTCATTCGAATTGACAACTGGAATGGGGGGGGGGGGTTTCTTAAGCTCTGGCGGATTCTTATGGCTGATGAGTCACCACTGAAAAACATGAAAAGAACATTCCAGCTGAACCATCTTTCATCTGCAGGTGTCGTGTCGTTTTGGTGAATATATTCAAATAGAGTTTTTATTGGATTGCTACAGTGAAAACCATTCATAAAGGCTATAGACATTTCATTTCGTTCCAATTATTTGTCATGTTTACTCCCATGATGTGCTTCACTCGTCACAATAAGAACTCTATTATTAACCAAATGCGACATACGCCCTGTATTTTTCTGACACAATCATAATGTTTAGCGGCGCTACAATGCTGTCGTTCACATGATTGTAATCACATGATTGTAATTGTTCATACCCTTGCATAAAGATCTTCAAGTATCATGTGCAGTCATGTGAATTGTAGACTCTTACGGTTCATAGAGTTACATTTCGCAATAGTGCATGCCTCTCGGAGTGTATTTTGTTTTGTTTTGTTTTAGTGGAGGTTTTACGGCACTCGCAACTGCATAAGGTCATATGAGCGCCAAGGTGTGGATGTCTTTCTGCTTGTTTGTCTCTCTTTCTCTATTTCTTTAGCTATGTCTCTCTGTATATCCGTCTGTTTGTCACTCCCCCCCCCTCCTCCCCTCCTTCTTCCCACTATTTATCTCTTTCCCTCCTCCCCCCTTCTTCCCCTCCTTCTTCCCACTATTTATCTCTCTCTCTCTCTCTC